CTTTTAAAAACGATTGAAGATCCCTTTAAACCCGCTACTAAAATTGCTAATGAATTAAATTCAATTGTAACACCCCGAACAATCAATAGGATTCTGAGAAAAGAGGGTTATAAGACTCACCACGCTGCTAAAAAAACCGAAACTCAAACCTCAAAATCGCCAACGAAGAGTTGAATTTGCAACAATTTACGATTCTTTGATTGGAAAAAGTGCATCTTCGTTGACGTATGTTGTTTCAGTAGTGAAAAAGATGGAATAAAATTAGTAAAAAGACCGAGAAATTCTCGTTATAATGAACTTTATGTTAATCAATCTGATCATTGTGGTCGAGTTTCTATTGGGGAGCAGAAACTTATTCAGGATTAGGTCCTTTTGTTTTTCTTGATTCAAGGCTTAATGCTCAAACTTATGTAGAAATTTTGTATACTTATGGTGTTGAGTTGATTAAGCAAAGATTTGGTAACAATGAATGTTTTTGGGTTGAGGACAATTGTCCTGCTCATCGGTCAATGTTAGTACGAGAGTGGTTTGAATGTGCGAATGCCTTACATCAGATCAATGTAAAACTGCTGAGTTTGCCTGCTTACTCCCCAGATCTCAATCCTATTGAGAATGTTTGGGGTGACCTTAAATACGAATTTTTGTATTCAAATTGTCCGATTGATTCGATTGAAGAAATGAAAAGTTATGTTAAATTAAATTGGGACAACAAAAAAACTGACTCGAACTATTTCAAACCCTTTGTAAATTCAATGCCTTAAAGGCTTCAAAATGTAATTGCCCAAGATGGTTTTCCAACAATATTTTGATTTAATTAAATTTTGATAAGATAATAAGCTCTATCATCAATCATCTATCTATCAAAATCTTAATCAGCTAAAAACTGCATTTTCTTATGAAAATCTCAATCCCTTTCAAGTTTGGTTTTATGTCATGTAGTTAACAAAGACGTGTACATGCGATATCATGCAGCCAAGCTTGTGATCAGCACAATTCTGGTGAACTGATCTGCTGATGATGCAAAGATTAAAATATGGTAAAATAGATTCGTGAAGTTCGAGTACCTGCTTATGCTGTTAACAAGCTAGCTCTTATGTTCATGAAACATGAAACATTAGACATGAAAGTTTAAATCTAAAATTCAAAAACTCCCAAAATGGAAGCTCTCCGTATATAATTGGTATAAAATATTTAACCTTGGTGAGTGGGCTCGGAGTAGTGAACGTGTCCAAGTATCTCTTCTTTTAGAATTGTAAAATATTATATTAATTTTATAAGAAGAGGCACAATAGTGCAAGCTTCAATGGTATCAGCACAAGTCTATTGGCAGTTCATGTTATTTTACATTAATTCTCATTTATGTTATTGAATCAAACAATTATCATTCAGTAACCAGTATGATGAATATGATCTTTACGTAACAATTTTCAAATGGTCGTTCTATTCACCTAACATGAACGAGCAACTGATAAAATATCATTCGAGAATCTCCTATTACAGAGGCTGAGTTGATACGCACACTCTAACATGTTTCAATTTTTGCATTAAAATTTAATTTGTTTTGTAAAATTTTGCTTCTTACAGTCATAAGTGCCCTTTCCAAAAGTAAAACAAAAATATTTTGAGTGACGTGCCTTTAGAATCAATGAACGATTTTACGGATACTACATTGTTCTGTGCAAACCAAGATTTCCGTTTAATGTAAGTTTGAATCTTTCGAATTATCTGAACCTATTTTACAAAATAATTCAAAATTTCAATACTTATGCAATTTTCCAATTTGCACGGTGAGTCACACAAGGAGGGTATGTTGAATTTGATCGGACGTCTCCAATTTTACTCAGAAAATAGTGTATAGAAAGAAAATGAAAAGATTATACAACTGCGAATCCTGAGAACGCAAGAAGCCATCGTGAAATCATAAAGATACGAAAAGGCATTATCAACGCGGATCTACATACAGAATTTGATCCTCCGAAAATATGATTTAGGAACAAATAGAATGGCTCATGAAGCAAAAGTCCATGCCGAAAGGAATGGAGAAGCTTTTGATTCCCAATTAGTAATCGGCGTGAGAGAATCCTTCGTCAATTTAGGCTCTAATGCCAACGATGTAACTATTTATATTGAAAATTTCGAGAAAGCATATATCGAATCAACTGGCGCATTTTATCATTCAAAAGCAGCTGAGTATCTTGTAGATTATGGTGTACAAAGCTATATGGTTTGGGCCGATAGTTAATTGAAAGAAGAAAGTGTCAGAGGAGCCGTATACCTTGAACCATTTTCTCTTCCAGCGGTAAGTTAGCGATTTAAAATTTGTGGACTCTCAATATTTACATTCTTATTTTTCTAGCTGAATGATACTTGTGTACGGGTATTTGTGACGAATAATAAAAATCTTATACTTTCGGAATGTCTTGGTATGATACAAGGAAACAATACTGATAGTAAGTTTGCATATTTCTCAATAGCTATGAAACTTTTTTCATCTTTTTCCCCTCAATAAATCCAAGTTCATCGCCTTTCCGTCATTCATGTTTAATTCTCTATTCTTTTTCAGAATTGAATCTCATGTTCAGATTGCTAGATCGTATTGAAGAAGGTGTAGAACCTATGTTAAATTACCTCGAAGAACATATCGTTCAACAAGGATTAGCCGATATAATGGCCTCAGATGAAATTATCCCTCAAGACTCGGAAAATAGAGTTGAAAAACTATTTAACCTTTTCACAAAATACAGCACTCTAGTCAAAGAGGCTTTTATGATGACCCTAGGTTTTTAACAGCGCGTGATAAGGTAAATTTCCCGATTCTTTTTTACCCACGCAAAGTTTGTCTCAAACCTTTCCTCTTTACCTGTACATCTTCTATAATGCGATATCCTCTACTTATTCTTCCTATTCTAAAAGCTTTTAAGCAAGTGGTTAATGACACGTCTGTTTACAAACTTGAATCAGCATCGAGGCCTAAAATGTAAGTAAATATTGCTGCGGATTTACCGATAATTTTACCAACTCTTTATTTCACCTTAGGAATAATGGACAGGCCACTAAGCTACCTCCTGAATCAAGATGCCCTGAAATGCTGGCAAATTTCTGTGATATGTTGCTCCGTAAACACCATTGAGCCGTAGATTAAATTCGGAAGAGATCCAAATCAAACTTAAAGAAGTGGTATGTGTTTAGTTGACTTTAGTTTTTTTCTGTTTGCTGCTTTATGTTTTTCTGTGGTTAATTCTTTCTCTTACAAGGGAAGTTACCCAAGTGTGACTCCTGGATTTTTATGTTTGATAGCTCATTCGATAGGGCTGTGGGTTTAGATGAATACCCTGTTGGGTTGTGTCTGCGAGTTGAGTGGTTTCTGAAATATTTGGGTTTAAAATTTGGGCACTTTCATTAAATCATTTTTTTAAACTTTCAAAATTGTCTAGAAAGGCATAGCCTAGTGGATAAAGGTTTGGGTGAAGGTGTGGAGATTTTGGGTTCGAATCCTACTGTTTTTTATTTTAAATTAACTCAATCAATTTAGCATTTTTAATTCAATTTTTTTCTAATTTTTTGTTGATTAAAAATATTTGATTAAATAGATTATAATAACTGTTATAGTTTATTACAATTAATTATCAACAAAAAATTAAAAAAAAATTGAATTAAAATGCTTAATTGATTGGGTTAATTTAAAATAAAAAGTCAGTAGGATTCGAACCACAATATGTCCACACCTTCACCCAATCCTTTATCCACTAGGCTATGCCTTTCTAGAAAATTTTGAAAGTTTAAAAGAATGATTTAATGAAAATGCTCAAATTTTGAACCCAAATATTTCAGGAACCACTCAACTCGCAAACAAAACCCAACAGGGTATTCGACTAAACCCTTAGCCCTATCGAATGAACTATCAAACATAAAAATCCAGGAGTGACACTTGGGTAACTTCCCTTGTTAGCCTTCATAGCTCATACTAATGTCTACCTTCTGCATTTGAATTTTAGGGATTAGTTTAGCTCTCTAACTATTTAAATACTAAGCTTCTACAACAACAACCTAATAAGTAAACTGTTGTAAATATTAATAAAAGAAATATTATATAATAATATAATAATAATAAATATTAATAATTAATATTAATAAATAATAATAAAAGTAAAATAACTAAAGCTAAAATCTTAATGAGCTAAAAACTGCATTTTCTTATGAAAATCTTAATCTCTTTCATGTTTATTCTTTAGATTCTAGTGCTAAAATATGTTGTGAACAAAGACGTGTTCATGAGATACCATAAAGCCCATCTGACTTATATTAGACTCATCTGCTGATAATGAGAAAGAAGAAAATATGATCGAATGGCTACGTGAAGTGGGAGTGCCTGCTGACATTGTTAACAAACTAACTCGTATGTTTCGAGACATGAAAGTTAGTGAAGATCTAAATCAACAATTAAAAAACTCCCAAAATGGAAACTCCTCAGATATAATTAATATAAAAATATTAAACGTTGTTGCGTGGGCTCGGGGTAGTAAAGGGGTTCAAGTATATCTTCCTTTAGAATTAGAAGATTTTATTCCAGAGGTAGAAGAATTTTATAAGAAGAAACACAGTGGGCGCAAACTGCAATGGTATCACCACATCTCAAATGGCACGGTAAGTACATGTTGTTTTTCACGTAAAATTGTTTTATCTCTTCAAACATTGATTCTCTGATGTCCCTTTGTATTAAACAGATATCCTTCAGTAGCCAGTATGGTAAAAATGATCTTGACGTAACAACTTTCCAAATGGCCGT